GCTCCCCTGCAGCAGTGCTAAGGTGCTCCGTCGATTGTTGCTTTTCCATTAAACAGGTTGGCTGTTGATATCAACGCAGCTGTATTTAATTCCATTTAAAGGTAAACTGTAACATTTATTCAGCCGCCTTGCTTACCGACTCTACACTTCTTTCCATTTTTGCTATTGAAGACAACTGCAGTGAAGAACCCTTTTGCCCATATGGGAGGGTAATCCACAGGCTAAATTCCTAGAAGTGGAATTGAGCATCAGAGGCCACATGCGGTGACATTTTGAGAGGTATCGCCAAACTGCCCTCTAAGGATGTGGTTCTGAGTTATGCTCCCTCCAGAAATGTAAGATCTTGCCTCTTTCTCTAGCGTGGGTATTTTTCATCCCTGGTTTCCATTTATAGCCTGAGCTGTCTTCATATCAGCTGAAAAGTTCAAAATGTTGGCAGCAAGGGTGGATTCTGAAGAAATTCCCGATATAGAAGGGCAGGGGTGGAAGAAATCCCGATAAGCTACATGAGCTACATGAGAAAGTGAAGCTCTTCTTTTCTCCCTGCGGAGGAGAGGAGAGGCAGCTGATGCAGCTGCCGGTTGGAGAAAGATCATTACATTTGGCTAAACTCCTCAAGGTCAACCCCCAGGGCCTGGGCCCAGCCCCTAGCCATTTGGTAGTTTATTCTAACAAGAATAAACATAACGTCAGCTTATTGACCAGAGAAACCTTGGTTTGTAAAATGAGATAGTTTACATTTGCATTGTTCTTGATTATGAACATTCCAGTGTTCAATCTTTTTAGGCAGATATTAATGGGTCGCATTTCCTGCAGGCATGCATGTAGACGTGCAGGTGCACACACTCACAGCTCAGTTATTCAGTTGAGGCCTAGACCTCTTTTTATGGACCCTGAGGTTTAGAAAGGTGGTCCAGTTAACACAGACACACAGGCGTTAAGATAAATAGTGGGTTTTCTTTACTCATATAGAAGATTGGTTTGATACAGGGGTTCTCAGCCTTAGCTGCCAATTAAGATCACCTGGCAAGTTTGTTGTTGGTTTTTTTTTTTTTTTTTTTTTCCTGAGATGGAGTCTCGCTCTATAGCCCAGGCTGGAGTGCAATGGCGTAAGCTTGGCTCACTGGAACCTCCACTTCCCAGATTCAAGTGACTCTCCTGCCTCAGCCTCCCAAGTAGCTGGGATTACAGGCATGCACCACCATGCCCGTCTAATTTTTGTATTTTTAGTAGAGATGGGGTTTCACTATGTTGGTCAGGTTGGTCTTGAACTCCTGACCTCAGGTGATCCTCCTGCTTTGGCCTTGTTAAGTGCTGGGATTACAGGTATGAGCCACTGCGACTGGCCTCCTGGCAAGTTTGTAAAAAGCTGATGCCCAGGCCTTCCCCCTAGCCAATTGAGTCAGAGCCTCAGGATGGGGCTCAGGCCTCAGGATTTTCTAAAACTTCACAGGCAAGTTTGGTGTGCAGCCAGGGTTGGCAGTCACTGGACTAGTGTAGAAGATGGCAGATTTTACAGCTTTCAGGCCAAATCTGGCCCCCCACCTGTGTTTGCAAATAAAGTTTTACTGGAACACAGCCACACCCATCTGTTTATATATTGTTCATGGCTGCTTTTGCAACAGAGCCTGTATGGCCTGCAAAGCCTGAAATATTTACTGTCTGGGCTTTTTTATTTTATTTTTTGAGATAAGGTCTGGCTCTTTTGCCCAGTCTGGAGTGCAGCAGCGTGATCTCAGCTCACTGCAGCCTCTGCCTCCTGGGCTCAAGCGATCTTCCCACCTCAATCTCCTGAGTAGCTGAGACTACAGGCATGTACCACTACGCCTAGCTAATTTTCTTATTTTTAGTAGAGACAAGGTTTCACCATGTTACCTAGGCTGGTCTCGAATGTGAGCTCAGGGAACTGCCCCCCTCAGCCTCCCAAATTGCTGGGATTACAGGCGTGAGCCACTGTTTCCAGCTTTCTCTAGGCTTTCACAGAGAAAGTTTGTTGACCTCTGTTGTAAATTTTTTCGGTAACTGTGTGTAATCTAGTAGTATATAGGAATGTTATTGAGGACACTAATGAATGTGTCACTTGGGTAGCCATGGGGAGTATTTTTGTGAGCTACTTTTCCATCTTTATTCTTGAAAAGGCTGGCTTTCCCCTTTGGAATCTAGTGGGCTGCTTCATTTCTGAAAGTGGAAATTATCAAATCCCTACCCCTTTGCTGTCACATTTGCATGCAGCTCAGCTATTAAGTCCTTGAGTTCTGCTTACTGGAACTGCTCTTTAATCTGGGCTTTCTCTCTCTTCTTTCTTTCTTTTTTTTTTTTTTTTTTTTTTTTTTTTTTTTTTTTTTTTTTTTTTTTTTTTTATTTTTTTTTTTTTTTTTTTTTTTTTTTTTTTTTAGATAGAGTCTTGCTCTGTCACCCAGGCTGGAGTGCAGTGGCGCGATCTCGGCTCACTGCAACCTCTGTCTCCTGGGTTCCAGCGATTCTCCTACCTCAGCCTCCTGAGTAGCTGGGATTATAGGCGCCTGCCACCATGCCTGGCTAATTTTTAAATTTTTAGTAGAGATGGGATTTCTCCATGTTGGCCAGACTGGTTTTGAACTCGTGACCTCAGGTGATCTGCCCACTTTGGCCTCCCAAAGGGCTGGAATCACAGGTGTGAGCCACCACGCCTGGGCCTTCTCTTTTAATGTTTCCCCATTCCTTGCTCTTTTTTTTTTTTTAATTTTTAAATTGTTTTACTCTTATAAATTCTCTTTATTAAGCTTCTTCAGATTTCTTGCTGGACAGAGATAAGTATAAACAGTTTTCTAGTTCTTTCTTCAGTAAATTTTTTTTTTTTTTTTTTTAAATACAGGCTCTTGCTCTCACCCAGGCTGGAGTGCAGATACACAGTCATGGCTCACTGCAGTCTCAAACCCCTGGGCTCAAGCAGTCCTCCTGTCAGCCTCCCAAGTAGCTAGGATTATAGGCATGTACCACCAAGCCCAGCTACTTTTTGTATTTTTTGTAGAAATAGGGTCTTGCTATGTTGCCCAGCCTGATCTCGAACTCCTGGCCTCAAGCAATCCACCTGCCTCTGGGTCTCAAAGTGCAGGGAGAGGTGTGAATCACTGTGCCTGGCCTCCCTGCAGGAAATTTGCACATTCTTCCCCCTCTGAGAGGTGGCCGTGTGAATGTCTGCAGTCCTGTCTCTAGTAGCCTCTCTTTAAAGCCCTGATCAGTGTGTGTGTACACACATGTGCACATGCGCATGCATGCACACGCATATATTTTTTTGGGTATTTTTCTTGAAGGGATAGTGTCTCTGCTTGCTCTGAGCACTTACTTCTGGAATCTCCCTGGGTCTGGGAAGGGCAGTCTATGAGTGTGATTTAAGAAAAGACCCATCTCTTCCCTCCCTTTTTTTTTTTTTAAAATAATAGGGTCTTGCTCTGTTGCCCAGTCTAGACTGCAGTGGCGTGATCATGGCTCAGTACAGCCACTAACTCCTGGCTGAAGCCATTCTTCTGCCTCAGCCTCCTGCGTAGCTGGGACTACAGGTGTATTCCACCACAACTGGCTGGGCAAAGACCCCTTTCTAATCTTACCTTGGTGGGTGTTAAAATTAAATTGGAGCAGTTTATTGCTTCTGGTCACCTATGAGTGGATTGGGTGGGGCTTTTGGAGGCCGCTTCTGGTCACTTTGAAGGAACTAATTTCTGGGTATGCAGTATTTAAGAACGCTCTCTTACTGTGTGAACGCGAGAGTGGTTGGGTCAGGCCAAAGGCAAAAGGTTGGAGAGAGCAATGGCTTTAAATAGTGCTTCCAGCCCAGCTGGACTAGATTCCAGGGCCTCTTTAACAGCCCAATGAAAGGAGGCGGCTTGAGGCGTGGAGGGAGCTGGGAGATGAAGCTCGAAGTCCAGGGAGCAAGCTCATCGCTGTTGGGAACCGGCTCAGAAATGGCTTCTTCTCTTTGTGGGTTGATTGGATGCCATCTGCTTTCTGATCTGCTTTCTGGGATCGGCCAGGGTAGGACAACTGCCCCACATTCTGCTTTGGGTGGGTTTGTGGGGATGCCAGAGGGTGGCATGCACAGTGGAGGACAGTAGGCCCCACCTGCAGGGTCGCTTGTTGCTTTGTGGACCTTTGCAGCTGCTGAAACTCTTAATATTTTGGGGGTGCTAGAGTAGGTGGGAAAGGAATCCAAAAAATGAAGACTCACTGACTCTTTGAATCCATCCTGCTGGTCCTACAAAGAGCCCTCGCAGAAGTGAGGGGACAGGACCTTTGGCCCGAGTCACCCCCCAGAGGTCTCTGCCTGGGAACTAGGCTAAGGACCTTGGACTCTTACTTGAGCAAGACCTGTTAGATGCAGGTTGAGTATCCAGGGCTAATCTGTTCCCCCTGCCTCACGCAGATGCCGCGAGCCAGAGCACACAGGTTGGAAGGTCTCCTGTCTTATATTCCCTACCCTTTCTAGTTTCAGCCCCAGACTAGGTCCACGGAGAACGAAAAGTGAAGCCTCTGTGGCAAATAGGCATTTAGGGTTCCCAGCTGTCAGGGTGTTTTTGAGGGGGTCGCTGTCCTTCTTGGATAAAAGCCCCCTCCAATCTGGGCCTGCAGTTACAAGTACACCCTGACCAGGCTCGGTGTTGCTTTGTACACTGAAATTGAGAGTGAATATCTGCCAGTAACCTTTGCCTTTAGAGGGTCCCTAATGATGCTGACTTCCACACACTGAGCCATCTGGCTGGGACTGTCCATTTGAAATATTGAAAGTCACCCAGATGATTGTTCAGTGGACTGTTTAAACCTGCCAAACGTGTGCACGCAGGCCATTATCTTCATGTCACCCCATGTGGTTGAGCAGATGATATTGTTGGGATGAATGACAAAGAACTTATCCCCCCTCCCCCGTGTTCTGAAATGTGTGTTTTGCTCTGACTTTGCAAGGACTAAGCTCAGTAATGAGCATTATTGTGTGCCTGGTCTTACGAAGGTGTGATGGTCTCTTTCAGATCGAAGCAAAGCAGAGATGGATTTGAAGGAGCTGAGTGAGTCGGTCCAGCAACAGTCTACCCCCGTTCCTCTCATCTCTCCCAAGCGCCAGATTCGTAGCAGGTTCCAGCTGAATCTTGACAAGACCATAGAGAGTTGCAAAGCACAATTAGGTATACCTTTGGTTTTGTTTTGTTTTTTTCCCTAGCAGTATCATTGTTACCATTACTTGTAGGGATGCCACCGGGACGAAATCACGGTTGAGTCCTGACTGCTTTTAGCAGGTGCTTTAACCTTAAACTGTTTGCTCAGCTAAAATGTATTTCCACTAATGGCAAAAGATTTCAGACTTGCTAGTTAATTCAGGGCTCTTTGAACTCATCAGATTTTATTCTTTGGTGAAAGCAGCTGGGAAACTTGAGATACAGGTTTGAAGCATCAAGGTTTGCAAGCAGAATGAGGATCCTCTGGGTTTGCCTCGGCTGTCCCTCTCAGTACACATCAGTGTCTCCACACCAATACCGAGTGTGTTCTGCAGGTGTCCGACACAAAACCCTTTCCCTCCAGACCGGTCTCCTCCCCACCTGGCAAACCCTTCCCGCTTCTGTAGCTGTTGCCTTCCTTGCTCTTCCCTGTGCTGCCTGCCTTCACACTGCCTACCTGAATCCTGCCCTTCCGTGAGGCTGAGCTCAGATCTCCCCTCCTCCCGGACGTCTCCCCTGACTGCCCTCCCCATCTGCCCGCCTCCTTTGGTACTTTATTGCTTGGAAGCAGCAATGGTCCCTATGTGTGGGAGTGTCCCTCCCAATCTAGACCGGAAACTCCTTGACGGCAGGGAGGCTGTTGGATGAGGATTTGCCTTCTCTATGGTACTTTGTGCACATGGTAGATGCTCTGGAATGTTTGTTGAATATGTCAGTAAAGCTAGCAGGGCATTTCTGAAGAAGTGGGGGATGGCTGGGCTTCTGGAGAGCAAGCTCCTCCGAGTGTCAGTGGGTGTTCTGCATCTTCAAATGAGAAAGCAGCTATACTTAGGGACAACCTGGGGCTGTCCAGAGGACAGCAGCTCCCATTGGCTTGCCTGTTTGATGAGGACATTGAATGGCATGGATGAAATTTGGCGTGCCATTTACATATGCCTCTTGGGTCCTTCCATGCAGCTGGTCCTACCCTTGATTTGTTTTTATTGCTAATAAGAGTTGTAATATTTCCATTTACCGAGTGTTTTCTCTGACACTATGCTAAACACTGCATATAGATTGTCTTAGGAGGTTGATACTTTTATCAGTCCCATTTTGCAGATGGAGAAACTGAGGCTCAGAGAGATGAATCACTTATTCAGGGTCACACCAGTAATAAAAACAGAAGAGCAGGATTTGAATTCATATCCTTTGGACTCCAGTACCCAGGCTTTTCCTATCCCATATGTGGCTACACTTCTCCTTCTTGTTGCTTTTTGTTTTGTTTTGAGACGGAGTTTCGCACTTGTTGCCCAGGCTGAAGTGCAATGACACAATCTTGGCTCACCACAACCTCTGTCTCCCAGGTTCAAGTGATTCTCCTGCCTCAGCTTCCTGAGTAGCTGGGTTTACAGGCATGTGCCACCACACCTGACTAATTTTGCATTTTTTTTTTTAAGTAGAGATGGGGTTTCTCCATGTTGATCAGGCTGGTCTCGAACTCCTGACCTAAGATGATCTGCCCGGCTTGGCCTCCCAAAGTGCTGGGATTACAGGTGTGAGCCACCGCACCCAGCCTTCCTTCTTGTTTCTGATCATGAGCTACCAGCAGCACAAGCCTAGGGTTCCAGAATTATACCAGATCTGGGTGTTTATATTTTGGCTTGTGTTCTTGCTGTCTTGCCCTGGCCAGCCTTGAACTCTTGGGTTCAGGCAGTTCTTTTGCCTCAGCTTCCTGAATAGCTGGGGTACATGTGTGCACCACTGTGCCTGGCCTGGCTTGACTTGTGTTTTTGTTTGAGCCCTGGTGGAGGCAGATATATTTCCCAATGATCCTGCCCATCTCCCATGCTCTGGGCTGTTGATGGCTCTGGTACTTTGCAGGTTTCCCTTTGCTGTGTCTGGGTTGGACAGTGGCACCACTGTCAGTGGCCATTGCTCTAAATGAAGAGATTGCACAGACTTCGTTGGGTTTTCTTTCCTCTTTCCAAAAGTTTAGAATATAGTAGTATTACCGACAGTATGATGATGGCACGGCGTATTATTGGGAGCAGGAGGTGTAAATGGGTTAAATGGAACTATTGTTAGAAATGTGCCTTTGCCTGTGTGTGTGTGAAACACCTGCTAGTTTGTGCTTTTTGTTTGTGTGTGTGAAACACCTGCTAGCTTGTGCTTCTCCCTTTTGAAAGAGACGGAAGTATGTGACTTTTCTCCTGACTCCTTTACCAGTGGAAGAGCAATGCACACGGAGTGGCAGTTGACTTTCCACATGAGTGCAGGGAGCAGGAGGGAGGGCTGGGCACCTGGGTCACCTGGAGACAAGTGTGTCCCCTGCCTAGAGAAGCCAGTGGCTTTCCTGTCCCAGCCAATGCCTGGCAGGTTGCTGACTCAGAGAGGCCAGATTTTCCCCTCTTGATCAGACGCCCCTGCTTTGATTTCTCTATGAAATTTTCTGAGTTGTGAATTGGGCAACACATTATAAATTAGAAAACCAAAAGCAGATAAGATACCCTGTCGGTCAAACCAGTGCCTCTCCCATGAAACATGTCTGCAAGCTAGATGTGGCTTGTGGGCTGAGTGTTTGCAGCCTCTGCTTGAAGGCGTTGGCTTGTTTCTTTGGGCGCTGGACACAAAGGATAAAGAACTTTACCACTTTGGGAACCCAAGGGAAGCAAGAGTGCTTGGTGGGGAGCCAGGAACCTGAGGTTCTGGTCTGGCCTCTGTCTTGTGTCCTAGGGCGGGTCATATCCTTGGGCCTCTGTTTTCTAATCTGTAAAGTGGATCAGTTTGAACAGCTTATTCCTGTTGTTCCCTTCCAGCCCTCTCATTCTCAATAATCCCGATTGGTTATCAATGTTATAAAACAATTTAGTGCCACATATTTAGTGCCATATACATTTAAGATTTCTGTTGGTAGGTCTCGTGTGTCCTTTGAATGTTAACAACCAAAACTCTCTCCAAAGGCAATTCCACCGGTCAGCCGTAGTCAGTGCCACTTGAGTTTATTACTGGTCCCATTTAGGCCAATGTGATGCGATTTGAAATGTCTTTTTCTTACTCCAGTGTTTGGTGTGGAAAATGTTTGCATTTTTCGTCCTGATCTTTATTTTGTGACTATCCCACATGCTGGGCTTTCTTTTTAAATTTAGGCATCAATGAAATCTCAGAAGATGTTTACACGGCTGTAGAGCACAGTGACTCGGAGGATTCTGAGAAGTCAGATAGCAGCGACAGTGAGTATATCAGTGATGAGGAGCAGAAGGCCAAGAATGAACCAGAAGACGCAGAGGACAAAGAGGGTTGTCAGATGGACAAAGAGCCATCTGCCGTCAAAAAAAAGCCCAAGCCTACAAACCCAGTGGAGATTAAAGAGGAGCTGAAAAGCACATCACCAGCCAGCGAGAAGGCAGACCCTGGAGCAGTAACAGTCAAGGACAAGGCCAGCCCTGAGCCGGAGAAGGACTTTACCGAAAAGGCAAAGCCTTCACCTCACCCCACAAAGGATAAACTGAAGGGAAAAGATGAGACTGATTCCCCAACAGTCCATTTGGGCCTGGACTCCGACTCAGAGAGTGAACTTGTCATAGATTTAGGAGAAGACCATTCTGGGCGGGAGGGTCGAAAAAATAAGAAGGAACCCAAAGCACCATCTCCGAAACAGGATGGTAAGTGATTGTGTTCGTTTATAGTTTTCTTAATTGGGTTTAGAATCCTACCTCGTATGTTTATTATCAAAAGTTATATGACCTTTAAACAAACAAACCAACCAAAAGTTATATGACCCTCTAACACCACCGAGAGAGGCACAGTGAAGCTGTGTTTGGTTGAAGGTTACCTAGCTAGTGATGGAACAGAGCCTGGACACAAACATAGGCCCAGCTACCTTTTACCTGCTCAGTATCCGATATGGTTGATTTTAAGTGCAGAAAAGGAAGTCTCTTAGAAAATGGTGGTTACTTTAGTGACCAAGTCATGTTTTGTCTGAGCAGCTTCTTCAGTATGCTCATGTATTTCCCTAAAGTGTTTGTTAACATTTGGACCTTATCAAATGGTCCTCCATTGCTCCATTCCACAGACATCTTGTTCTTTGTTTACAAGTCTCAAATGGTTAGCAGTGTTCATTTCAGGCCAGGTGTGGTGGCTCACACCTGTAATCCCAGCACTTCGGGAGGCCGAGGCAGGTGGATCATTTGAGGTCGGAGTTCGAGGCCAGCTTGACCTACATGGTGAAACCCCATCGCAACTAAAAATACAAAAATTAGCCAGGCATGCTGGCAGGTGCCTGTAATCCCAGCTACTTGGGAGGCTGAGGCGGAGAATTGCTGGAACCCAGGAGGTGGAGGTTGCAGTGAGCCGAGATCCTGCGACAGCATTCTAGCCTGGATGACAGACTAAGACTCCTTCTCAAAGAAAAAAAAAAAAAAAAGTGTTCATTTAAAAGGTTTTGATGATTTCAGCATCCCTTTCCTCCCCTCATGCCACCTAGGCATCTCCAAATGTATTTTTTTTTGATAGCTGGACATTATTTGGGTAGTTGGTGCCAGAATGTTGAGTGATTCTTAGGGCACTAGAAAATGAAGTATGGGGGCCAGGCATGGTGGCTCAGGCCTGTAATCCCAGCACTTTAGGAGGCCAAGGCGGGTGGATCACAAGGTCAAGAGATTGAGACCATCCTGGTTAACATGGTGAAACCCTGTCTCTACTAAGAACAAAAAATTAGCTGGGCATGGTGGCGAGCACCTGTAGTCCCAGCTACTTGGGAGTCTGAGGCAGGAGAGTCACTTGAACCTGGGAGGCAGAGGTTGCAGTGAGCTGAGATTGTGCCACTGCACTCTAGCCTGGTGACAGTGAGACTGTCTCACAATGAAGTACGGTAGATACATGTATTGGCTTTTTTGGGGTGAGGGGTGCTGGTGACAGAGTTTCGCTCTCATCGCTCAGGCTGGAGTGCAATGGCATGATCTCTTGGCTCGCTGCAACCTCCACCTCTGGGTTTCAAGTGATTCTCTTGCCTCAGCCTCCCAAGTCCCTGGGATTACAGGCACGCACCACCTTGCCAGGCTAATTTTTGTATTTTTAGTAGAAACGAGGTTTCACCATGTTGGCTAGGCTGGTCTTGAACTCCTGACCTCAGGTGATCCACTTGCTTCGGCCTCCCAAAGTGCTGGGACTACAGGCATGAGCCACCGTGCCTGGCTGCATTGACTTTTAATCTTATTTGCATTTAACTTAACTGAGCCCAGAGTTTCACAACCTTGCACTACTGGCTATTTGCCCTGGATAATCCTTAGTCCTGTGTATTGGAGGATGTTTTCCAGCATCCCTGGCCTCTACCAGCCAGATGGCAGTCGTGCCTGCCCAGCTGTGGCAGCCACAAATGTGGCAATCAGATATTGCCAAATATCCCGAGCCTCCGAGGCTGCTATTATATTCTGAACCGGCAGTGACTACCCTGCAGCCTAGTGCAGCCTGGGCGTGATAACAAGCCCTCCAAAAGGGGTGTGTGAATGATTGGAAAGATTTTTTTCCCACTGACAAAGTATTCAGTACATTTTTCAGTTGGCTTGGCAAGTAGGTTAGAGGATTCAACATGCTCAATAAAGATACTGAAGAATTAACTCGGGGCCCAGAAGAAACATTGCCTAAGGACAAATTAGAGGTGGTAGCCATAAAACCTTACATATGTTGTGAGTAACATAAGGGATAGCCAGGTTTAATTCTTGACTGTACCTAACTTCTAACAGGAGCTTACTTGTCCTTCAAACCCTTGAATAAGATGCAATTCCATGTCCTTTGGGGTTTCCATTGCCTGATGGCTTAAAGCAAGTCACGAATGGGCCTTGGGAATCTTTCTGCTGTGGTTGTGGTCAACCTGGGCTGCTCTGGAACCTAGCTATCAGAGTGCGAGATGATTCCTGCAGTTCAACTAAAGAGAATGTCTGTGAGAGGTACAGTGGAGGAAGAGAGAGATGCAGTTACATAAGGGAGGGAGGATGGGCCATCAAACCATCCCGACCCGTCTGTTAGATTTATGGATAGCTTCTGAAAAATCTGAGTATGTTGTGGATTGGGTTTGAGAGACTGCCTCTGTTGTTTCAGAGAACAATAGGAGCAGCATTTATTCCATGAGGATTGTAGGAATATTTGGGTGCAGATGGCAGTACTCCTATGAATGACATATTTATACTGTTCTTTCTTTCTGGAACAGTTCTTTGATTGATTAGTTTTATGCCCCTACCTCTTCCAGAAAGAATTTGCAACAGATTGACAAGGATACATAACCATATGAGACTAGATGAAAATAAAGACATCCATGTAAAAGGAAAATGAAGGTAGAATAGCAAGTGGTCTGGGGAAAGGTTTTATTCAGAAATCTGTACTGTTTCAACCTTCAGAGTTAACAAAGTTGGCTCTGAGCTTCCTGGCAATGAAAGCAGAATGGGAAACACAGTGCCTTAAAAGATCTCATACTTTCCAAAAAATAAAAAAACATTCTCTTTGATTGAAAGAAGTAGAGTTCTTCCTCACACTGATGTCTGAAGGGAATTAGATGGTGGACAATTACGCTGAAGAGAATTCTAAAACACAATTCAGTTAGAGCAGCTTTCTAAGGCTTGGGGCAAAACTGATCTTAAATTCAGAGTTCATGGTGGTTTGGGTCTTGAAAAATTGGCCTCATGTCAGACTCTGCTGGAGAGTATCTTTTCAATGATGTGTTTTCATTTAAGAGTTTAGTAAGTGAAGGGCATTTTGGAGTGCGCTGTTGTGACCTCCAGCTTACCTTCCACTAGGGATGCAGCTTCTGGGTAGAATATGAATCTTCGGATGGCAAAACAGCTTTTATAACTAGTAATCTCTGAACAGAAGCAAAGAGAGTGCACTTAAAGACTGCTATGCTTGCACTGGCATATCAGAAATTTCCATCCTTCTACAAAGGAGATGCTAATTTTTCTCTTAAAAAGTCCTCGCTTTGTAAATAAAAAACAGTGACCAGTGACAAATTTAGGAATAAGTAGGTTAATTTGATGGGGCAGCATCTCAGGTGCTGACCCTTTAAAAAAAATACACTCTTTTTTTTTTGGTTACAGGTGATTATGTACTCTAAATTTCTGGGACAAAAGAAATTTCCTGTAGCCTAATTTTTTCTCCATAAACCATCAGGGTTCCTAAAAATTTAAATGTTTTGGTATCCAAATAACTGCAAACAGTATTTTGAGCCTGGAATCTTAATCACATTGAATACTCCAGCTATTTATTTGGCAGAGAGCCAGCTGTGATCACTGCAGAGCAGTAACCCCTCTGCCCTGCTGGGTGCTTGCTTTAAAAAATCAGGAGAGAGAAAAATGACCTTTTTGTGGTTGCTCGTTACTTATGATGGGAAAACTAGGCTAGCTAATCAACAATAACAATATATTTTTTGGTCACATGGCAGGAAAGGAAGGCATTGAAGGCACTTATGCAGGTTAGAAGCCCTGCGAAGGCACTGCCCCCATGCCCTCCTCTCAGAAGGGCCCAGTTCAACACCTCATCTGCACCTAGAAGAGGCAGGGACTGTGTCCCGTATCTGGCAGGTTGCCCTGGAAGGACCGAAGTTCTTCACTGCAGGAAGCTCCCCTTCTAGATCCACCCGGGCTCTTGCCTACCAGCTTGGCTGTATTCTCCTCTCTGAGGAAGCAGGAGGGCCAGCAACAAGTGGTAACCATCCAGAACGCCCCCTGAAGTCAGAACAGACAGCTTGTCTCTTCCCCTCATTCTCCTTGGCTTCTTAAAACCCACAGGTTACTGAAAATCCTTGCTGGAGTAATCACACTCATTTCTTTTCTGGGTGATACGGATCTTAAAAAGATAGACATTATCCTTATTAAAAGGAGTTTGATATCAGGGAGCATAGTCTATGATCAGGGTGCTGCCTTGTACCTGCGTGTGGTGTGTTCCCTGGACATCCTCTCTGGGGCACAGGGCCATCTTGCGGGGGCTGAGGCCTGTGCATCCATAACTGACCCACCTTTATAAACGAGCACCCACTCGATCATCCCCTCTACCTGCTGCTCAGTGCTTCTGGCTCTAACCTGCCTTCCAGCACCTCCTTCCTGCCTGCCCTCCCTTACCCAAATGCTCTCTATTCCTAGACATGTCTTGCTGATGCCGTTCCCTCTGGATTCTCACTTTCTGCCTGTTGAAATCCTACCTTTTATTCCTCACCAGCTCCTCCAAGATGACATACTCCATATGGCAGCGTTTTTCAAACTTGAGTCATTCACATTCATTGTCTTTGCCGTTCTGAAGTCCTTGTATAATTTTTGACTTAATATTTTTATTTAAAGAATCTCATTCTTTAAAAATATAATTAAACTCATTTAAAGTGGGACACAGTAGCATGTGCCGTATTGTATAGTCCCAGCTACTTGGGAGGCTCAAGTGGCTTGCTTGAGCCCAGCCTGGGTGATTTAGCAAAACTCTCTCTCTTAAAAAAGTATATAAAATGCCGGGCGCGGTGGCTCAAGCCTGTAATCCCAGCACTTTGGGAGGCCGAGGCGGGTGGATCACGAGGTCAAGAGATCGAGACAATCCTGGTCAACATGGTGAAACCCCGTCTCTACTAAAAATACAAAAAATTAGCTGGGCATGGTGGCACGTGCCTGTAATCTCAGCTACTCAGGAGGCTGAGGCAGGGGAATTGCCTGAACCCAGGAGGCGGAGGTTGTGGTGAGCCGGGATCGCGCCATTGCACTCCAGCCTGGGTAACAAGAGCGAAACTCCGTCTCAAAAAGAAAAGAGAAAAAAAAAAAAAAAAAAAAAAAAAGTATATAAAATAATTAAACTCATTTTATTTATTTTTCATTTATTATTAATATTTTTTGAGACGGATTCTCACTGCCCCCACAGGCTGGAGTGCAGTGGTGCAATCTCAGCTCATTGCAATGGCCGCTTCCCGGGTTCAGCCAAGTCTTCTGCCTCAGTTTCCCAAGTGTGCCACCACGTCTGGCTAATTTTTTTGTATTTTTAGTAGAGATGGAGTTTCACCGTGTTGGTCAGGCCAGTCTCAAACTCCTGACCTCAGACGATCTCCCCTGCCTCCCAAAGTGCTGGAATTACAGGCGTGAGCTACCGTGCCTGGCCTCATTTTATTTTTTTATTAAAAAAAATTTCCTCTTGGCCAGGTGTGGTGGCTCACCCCTGTAATCCCAGCACTTTGGGTGGCCAGGGCAGGAGGATCATGAGGTCAGGAGTTTGAGACCAGCCTGGCCAACATAGTGAAACCTCATCTCTACTAAAAATACAAAAATTAGCGGGGCATGGTGGCATGCGCCTGTAATCCCAGCTATTTGGGAGGCTGAGGCAGGAGAATCACTTGAACCCAGGAGGTGAAGGTTGCAGTGAGCCTGAGATTGTGCACTGCACAGAAGAGGCTCCCCTTCTGTTCTCCGTGGTGCAGGCTCCCGTTTTGCCACACGCTTCATCTCAAAAAAAAAAAAAAAAAAAAAAAAAAAAAAAAAAAAAAAAAGAATTTCCCCTGAAAAAACCATCTGCAAGTATAAACCCTCTTTAGACTTGATCAGCACCCAGTAGGAACAGTAGCGCACAGTATACATTAAAGATGGTGACAGGAATAAATCCAATCAAAACCAAAGCAATGCTACTCAATCCTAGATCAGTACCATTGTGTTAGGGGAAGGGTGTGGCCTTGGGACAGAATTCCTTTTCCTGGTATTGTCAAGGCAATCATTACTACCTTGAAACTGTTCTGGAGGAAATCAGAAGAGAGAAAAGGAATACTTTTCTTTCTGGGTGACTGATTTTTACTTAGTGCTTCGGCCATTGGGAAGTCATCTGTTTCTTTAGAGGTATTGCTTGCTCTCTAGGTTCCCTAGTCAAAGCGTTTCTCTACATCTCTGGATTGACTTCCGCTGGGTCTTTATCAAGGGGCGGACCAGAATGTAATTTTGCAAAAAGGGCGTGAACGGCAAATCTGTTCACCCAGCGTCGTCCACTCGGTGGAGGAGCCGCCGGGTCTCGTTCGCCTCATTCTTGCCCAGAGGTCTTGACTTGCATCTCCGATGTGAGCCGGTGCTCAGTAAAGGAGGCCTGTGCTGGGGAGATGGAAGATGCAGCCGAAGGGGCCTCGGCGTTCGGTGAGAATCTACTCCTCCAGCGCGGTGTGCTTGGCACGTCCAACCGGCTCTCCGTTCCTGGCTTTCGTAGGTTTTACCCTGAACTTGCTGGCGTGGAGACCCTGCAGGCGAACCTGAGTGAAATGCAGTTTGTGTTTGTTTTTTCTTCGTGCATTGGCTAGTTGTAGGTAAAGCGCCACCATCCACGACGGCGGGCAGCCAGTCTCCCCCGGAAACGCCTGTGCTCACCCGCTCTTCCGCCCAAACTCCCGCGGCCGGCGCCACAGCCACCACCAGCGCGCCCTCCTCCGTCACCGTCACGGCCCCGGCCCCCGCCGCCGCAGGAAGCCCGGTGAAAAAGCAGAGGCCGCTTTTACCGAAGGAGACTGCCCCGGCCGTGCAGCGGGTCGTGTGGAACTCATCAAGTAAGTTTCAAACGTCCTCCCAAAAGTGGCACATGCAGAAGATGCAGCGTCAGCAGCAGCAGCAGCAGCAGCAGCAAAACCAGCAGCAGCAGCCTCAGTCTTCCCAGGGGACGAGATATCAGACCAGACAGGCTGTGAAAGGTACCGAGCCTCCCCTTCTGTTCTCTGTGGCGCCCGCTCCCATTTTGCCACATCGACAGGAGAAAGTCATTGCTCTTTTATTTTTATTTTTATTTTTAGTTCTCGTGTGTTTTTCCTGGCCGTTGTATCTTGAAGGCCTCGCACATTCTGTTTGGCATTATTTTTAAAAATTGTTTTGCTACTTTTTTACTTTGAAAAAATTTTTGTTCATTTTATAAATGATACATGCATATATTTCCTTGAAAAGAAACTTTTAGGAAGTTTTACATAAAAGTCTGTTGTCCCGTGTGCCTTCCATTTCATTCTCTTCCCTTCCACGGTGGCCAGTATCAACCGCTGTAAAAGCTTTTCTATGCATGTGTGCATGTATATGTATATATACATATCTGTATGTATATATGTGTGCGTCATGTATATGATGCCATAAAATTAGTCCTTTTTTCTCCCCTTTTTCTTTTTTGAAACATAAAAATGGTACCATACTTGCTTTTTTTTCACCCATCAGCATGTCTTGGAGATTCATCCATGTCGGCACATATGGCCCCGCCTTGTTCTTTTGGACTGCTGCATAGTATTCCATAGTTTATTTAAAGCATTCCCCTACGGATGGGCATTTAGGTTGCTTTCAGTTTTTTCCTACTATAAGCAGTGCTGCAGTTAATATCTTTGTGTAAATGTCCTTGTGCACATGAGGGAACCTCTTGGAGTTATTTTGGAAAAAGTACAGTGCAAGAAGTTGATAGCAAAGGTTACCTTAGTAACTAGAGATTTTGTCACACACAAAAGATGAGCCAGCCTCAAGAACCACTTGCTCAAGTTGCAGAATCAGAACTCCCACCAGCCCTGCAGGAAGCTCCATCTGGAGCTGAAATGAGGCCAGACACAGTGCTGATCTGACTGGTTGTTACCAGTTTGCCTGGCTTTTGTGAGCATTGATGTAGATCTCTTTCTACCAGGAAACCTGCATTTAGATCCTCAAAGGTTGGGTTCTTCGACTGAAACTCATAGTGCACCCTGTTAAGTGGGGCTCGTGAGTGGCAGGATGTGAGGTTAAAAGGTGGTTACCTCTGGAATTGGCCTCCAGTGAAACCCTTCAAAGATGGCAAGGGATTGGGCCTTGAAAAATTGGACAGGCAAAATGAGAGTACAGTTGGATGAATTTTGCTGTATAAAAAGTTGGTGGGGCAAAGCTGAGTCTAGGATATTTGAGACTGGGATTACTGCTTCCTGTCTTCTGTCTTCATATCCTGTAAGCGGGAGGCTTCTCAGGGGAGTTTAATTGCTGCCAAGAAGAGGGTCGGGCATGGTGGTTCACGCCTGTCATCCCAGCACTTAGGGAGGCCAAGGCAGGCACATCACTTGGGGCTAGGAATTCAAGACTAGCCTGGCCAACATGGTGAAACCCCATCTCTACTAAAATGGGGGGAAAAAACCCCAAAAAACTAACCGGGCATGATGGCACATGCCTGTAACCTTGGCTACTCAGAAGGCTGAGGCATGAGAATCCCATGAACCTCAGAGGCGGAGGTTACATTGAGCTAGAATTGCGCCATTGCACTCCAGCCTGGGCGACAGAGCGAGACTGTGTCTCAAAAAAGGGGGGGGAGGGGAGAAGAGTGCTGCCAAAAAGAGGCTGATTGCTTCAGATTGTCTTATGTCAAAATAGAGCCTAGTTAAAGGGGTAAAGACATTTAAGTCGGTAATATACTACTATAATATAGGCAAGAGTCTAGCATGAACTGAAATTAACTTTGATTTGTACAGAGGTGACTGGGCATTTTGAAGGGAGAATGAGGGAGTAGGGATGGGAGCTAGTGGGGGTTTAGTAGAGTCAGGGAAGTTAAACATCACAAAAGCAAGATGAGGGGTTGGTCTTTGTAAAAGCCATCTCCTTTGCTAATAGGCACTTCATGAAGTTGGGCCCCTACTCCCCCATAGAGACTGGGTTGCTGAGGTCCTGTCTTCAGGTGTTGGCCGGAACAAAAACTCTCAGTTCTCTTGGCAGCATTGAGTTTTCCCAGACAGGCACTTTAAGTGGGGGTTGGGGTCATCCTAGAAATGCATTCTTGAGCTCTTAGAAACTGTCTTTCCTGGGCAAGGTTAGGGCCTAGTCAAGAAACCTGGATAGAGTTTGGTTGAGGGTACCATCTTTGTCATTTAAAAGTAGAAAAGCTCTCAGGACATATATTAGGGGCTTTGCTTCCACACCACAGCTCTGTGCTGGGACGGGTCCTTCCCACAATCGTGGGGTAATCAGGATGCTTTGCCTTCCTAGCTGTCCAGCAGAAGGAGATCACACAGAGCCCATCCACGTCCACCATCACCCTGGTGACCAGCACACAGTCATCGCCCCTGGTCACCAGCTCGGGGTCCACGAGCACCCTTGTGTCCTCAGTCAACGCTGACCTGTCCATCGCCACCGCCTCAGCCGATGTCGCCGCTGATATTGCCAAGTACACTAGCAAAGTGAGTGGATGGGAGAGCTGCCGTGGAGATGGCAGGCACCTGGCAGGATGCCAGAACCTCAGCCTCCCGAGGGGAAGCATTGGTGTCTTAACCTGGCAGGCTTTAGGGAGTGGTTAGGAGGGAAGACCCCCTCCCCCCTTTTTTTTAACAGGCTCTCCCAAGACCCCATTCTTTCATTTGGGTCTAATGGAGAAGCGTAGAATGGTCTGACTCTTACTGCAAGTGGGCTTAGATTCTAAAGTCAGTTCATAAAGTGCAAATGACATATAATCAAAATTGCCTTTGAGAAGTCACGTCACTCATTAGGGCACTGGAACACATGACTGATCCTTCAGTGAACAGCTGACCGGGGGTTTGCTTTGCATTTAGTAGACAGGAGTAGAAGTAGAAGTGACAGGAGACTTAAACATAATGCTGGCAAGGTGAGATGCCCACACTTTGATATTTCCAGGAATCAAGATGGATGGGGAGGGGACTGATGGACCCCTCTCCCACCTTCCTGTCCTCTGGGGTACAACCCCCATTATGAGGCATGTGGGCAGGATTGCCTGTTGTGGTCACACTCATGGGCACTGTCTCAGCACGGGCTCTTTTTTTCTCTTAATATGCCATCTGTTTTTTTTTTTTCTTTGAGACAGAGTCTCACTCTGTTGCCCAGGCTGGAGTGCAGTGGCACCATCTTGTCTAACTGCATCCTCTGCCTCCTGGGTTCAAGCAATTCTCCTGCCTCAGCCTCCTGGGGCTACAGGTGTGTGCCACCAGGTCTGGCTAATTTTTATATTTTTCTAGTAGAGATGGGGTTATGCCATGTTGGCTAGGCTGGTCTCAAACTCCTGACCTCAGGTGATCCACCCACCATGGCCTCCCAAAGTGCTGGAATTACAGGTGTGAGCCACCGCTCCCGGCCTGCCAAGTGCTTTTTTATGGTCGTTGTTGAATTCTGGTAGATACCATCTGCAGTTCTCAGCGTCATGTGAGAGTGCCTTGGACGGATGTGCTGTGTATCCTGTCGTCATTAGACCATGGTAGTAATAACCACTAGAATGTCAGTTCCACAAGGGCAGGGATTTTGTCTGTTTTGCTCACTGCTGAGGCCTAGAACAGTGCCTGACATGCAGTAAATGCTTGACAGTTGGACTTTCTTTTTATTGGCCTTAAATATTATCAGTAACTTAACAATAGCTATTGATTTTACAATCTACTGAAATTATTTAGTAAATTACTAAGTAAGTAATAATAATTTATTCATTGATGAGTAGATTACTAATACTGATGAGTAAACAGTTCTAGTTTTTGGAAAGAATGATCGAAAATAGTTGTGTATGGTTGTTTCTAGAATTCTTTTTTTTTTTTTTTTTTTTTTTTTTTTTTTTTTTCTTTTTTTTTTTTTTTTTTTTTTTTTTTTTTTTTTTTTTTTTTTTTTTTTTTTTTTTTTTTTTTTTTTTTTTTTTTTAAATGCAGACAGTGTCTCCTTTTGTTGCCCAGGCTGGTCTCAAATTCCTGACCTCAAGTGATCTTCCTGCCTGGGCCTCCCAAAGTGTTGAGATCACAGGTGTAAGCCACCACACCCAGCCTGTTCCTAGAAATCTTATAGTCTTAATGATAAAGAATTAGCTTTGTTATATTGAGTTGAAGGAAGAGGAATCTTTTTTGTTTCTGAATGGTGAGAGAAATATATATGAATTTTTTTTTTACACAAATGAGTTTTCATTGGTCATGTTGCTTTTTATTCCTTCTATGTAGGCATAATTGTTAATGTTGCTGCAGAACAGATTACCACACAACTTAGCAGATTTACACAGCACACACGTTTATTATCCTACAGTGTTTGGGGGTCAGGAATCTGAGCACGGCTCCAAGGGGTTCTCCGCTTCAGTATCTCTTGCAGCTGCAGTCAAGGAGTCTGCAAGGGTTTGGGACTCACACAAAGGCTTAACTGCGGAAGGATCCACTTTCAAGGTCACTTAGGTGGTGATGGGCAAGATTCACTTCCTTGAGGGCTGGTGGCCTGGGCCCGCCAGCATGGCAGCTTGCTTCATCAAAATCAGCAATGGAGGCTGGGCACAGTGGCTCACACCTGTAATCTCCGCACTTTGAGAGGCTGAGGTGGGTGCATTGCCTGAGCTCAGGAGTTCAAGACTAGCCTGGGCAATATGGTAAAACCCTGTCTCTACTAAAATACGAAAAATCAGCCTGGCATGATGGCATGCGCCTGTAATCCCAGCTACTCAGGAGGCTGAGGCTTGAGCCCAGGAAACAGAGGTTGCAGTGAGCTGAGATCATGCCACTGCACTCCAGCCTGGGCAACAAAGTGAAACTCTGTCTCAAAAACCAGCAATGGAGAGAGGCTGCTGACAAGAGGGAAGTCACAGGCTTAGGGAGGCTAATCACAGAAGTGACACCCCATTACCTTTGCTGTATTCCATTGGTTAGAAGCAAGTTGCTGGGTCAGAGGGAGAGGATTATAGACAGGCATAAAATATCAGTAAGTTGGGATCTTTGGGAGCCTACTTAGAGTCTGCCATCCTTCCAGGTAAGGTGGCAGTATGTTTGCATAGCATTTACTCTGGGCTAGATGTTGTCCTAAGCACTTTTGGTATGTTACCTACTCAATCTTTATGGCAAATTGATGAAGTGTAGGTACTGTTGTCACCCCAGTTTTACAGATGAGAAAACTGAAGCCCAGTGAGGTTACACAGTGTGTCTAGGTTCACAGGCTAGTGAACGGCCAAGCTGGAATTTGAAGGATAGCAGCCAGGCCCTAGAGAGTGTGCACTTAACCTGGCTGTGACTGACTGTGCATTTCAGACAAGCCTGCTGACCACAAATGTTACTGGCCCACAAACTGTTGGCACATAACTTTTTAAAGCAACTCCTCTTCAGATTCAGTGTGGCTGTTTGAGCCAGTGGTTCACACTTGTAACTGCAGCACTTTGGGAGGCTTAAGTGGGAGGATCACTTGAAGCCAGGAACGTAAGACTAGCCTGGGCAACATACTGAGACCCTGTCTTTACAAATAAAAAAAAAATTAGCTGGCCAGAGTGATACATGCCGGTAGTCCCAGCTGCTCTGGAGGCTGAGATGGCAGGATCACTTGAGCCCAGGAGTTTGAAGCTGCCGTGAGTTATGATTGCACCACTGCACTGGATGGATAGAGCAGTACCCTGTCTCAAAAAACAAAAAGGCTGGGTGTGGTGCTTATGCCTGTAATCCTAGCACTTCGGGAGGCTGAGGCAGGAGGATCACCTGAGGTCAGGAGTTCGAGACCAGCCTGACCAACATTGCAAAACGCCATCTCTATTAAAAATACAAAAATTAGCCTGGTGTGATGGTGGGCACCTATAATTCCAGGTATTCAGGAAGCTGAGGCAGGAGAATTGATTGAATCCAGGAAGTAGAGGTTGCAGTGAGCTGAGATTGTGCCACTTCACTCCAGCCTGGGCGAAAGAGCAAAACTTTGTCTCAAAAAAAAAAAAAAAAAAGATGGGAAGGTTGTCCTGAGGTGTTGAAGGTATAACAGCACCAAATGGAGACTTTCTTGCTGAAGCGATCTATAGGATTATTAGGGAATTGAAAGGACGTAATTTTTTCATTAGTGATTTAAGCAGGTGTCTGGTGTTACCTGAATGATCTCTTGTTCTGCCTTGGGTTGTCCCTTACATTACCTTCCATTGATTTGGTCCCAGCTGTTAGTTTATGAATGGGAAAGTAAGGCCTGCTGAGTGGATCAGATGAGTGGTTGGCACAAAGGCTGTTTTCTCAGCCCCTGCAGCCGTGTTAATTTTGTTATCTTTTGCATCCCCCTTGTTCTTCAAAAAATTACAAAAAAAAAAAAAAAATTTTTTTTTTTGTTTTTTAGAGTTGGGGGGTACCCTGTTGCCCAGACCACTCTTAAACTCAAGTGACCCTCCCACCTTGGCCTCCCTAGGTAGCTGGGACTTCAGGCATGCAACACTGCCCCCAGCTCCCCGTGACTCTTTCAGCAATACTGAGGAATGACTTTGTGGGTTTTTTTTTTTTTTTT